TAAAGCAATAATTTTTACACAACATATAAAAATCACAAGGAAGTATCTTCACGGACTTAAGAGATACGGTGAGATTAGTGACAGTGGACTGGAAAAAACCTTTAATTGAAGCAACATTTTGACGCTTTCGCAAGCCTCAGAATCCCTATTTCCACTAAAATTTTATTTGTTTTTGTAGTTTATATAATTCGTGTAAAACTTTTCAACCCTACCACTTTAGTAACGGACAATTAGTTAAAATTTATTCACTTTCATACAATTTCACAAAATTTTTTTAAAGAAATTACTGTTAAGACTATTTTTTCGGGTTTGTACCGCTCTGCCTGCTTATTAAACCCTCCTAACCCATATATATATCGCGCTCAGTATCTTTTTTTAACTGCTAGTATTGTTTTGCTAATTTTCCTCTCAACGCTTTCTCGTATGATGCAAAGAAATTTTTTATGCATTTGACTGGCGAATCTACGCGAAAACGTGATGCTGGAAGTACTTTTTTCTTTTTATATTTTTGTGAAAGTAATAAAATCAATGCGAGTATTGTTGTCCTTCTCTTTTTGCAGCAGTGCATCAGTTCGAAATTTGAAGGCATTTTGAGAAGATCAGCAACGATGGCCGGTACGAAAGAGGAATTTTCAGTCTGAGTCCTAACTCAAAAGCCAATTATCAGCAGTGATTTAAACTATTTATCAGACACAGTTTATAAAGCCAGCTAAATTATCTACCAAAGAAGTCATCGATGAAAGTAATTAGGTCTATTGGCCATACTCTGTTCAAACCTTTAGACTTTCGGTCAAGAAAATTTTTCACGAAAAGCACAAAGCAAAACTGAACCTAAAGAATTTTCTCTAGTTTTTTTTCACGACAATTTTTCCAACGGTATTTTTCAATGAGATAGTGAATTGTGAAAACAACTCTGTCAGTGTAACTCTAAAAGCAAAATAGAGTGCAGAAAAGATCTTTAAGAGACTTTTTCAGTGATTTCTCAACATAGCACTCTAGCAGAAGTTTTCACCAACATTTTGCTGAAGTGCTACATTATATTCAGGTTTGTGAAGAAGCAAACTGATGAGTTGTTAGTTAAATAATGTATAATTTTTCTTACAGGTGTCATGATTT